AGCCTCATCCACCATAGCAGGTCATCCACGCATTCTTGGGTCCAAGTTATTGAGTAGTGTGGTTGCTGAAACCGTGCGCAGACGGACCACAGACGACGCATGAAGGCACGGCCTGGAGTGATGACACGGGCAGCAAACGAGAGCTTACCCAATAGGGACTCCAGTTGGCGTTGGGATATCTTCCGGCTGTTGATCGTGCTGGCCAATAGCGATCGGAGGTCGGTGAGCTTGTCCATGGGGAGCCTGGCCTCGAGCCGCTCGCAGTCCAGAATAATGCCGAGGAACGTCAGTGATCTCGCGGGACCTTCCACCTTTGCTGGCGCTAGCGGCACGCCCAAATAGATGAAGGCCCGCAGCAGGATTGCTAGTTGACGCTGGGCAACAGTATGGCCAGTTGTGACGTTTAGGAAGTCGTCCAAGTAGTGGAATAGGTCGGCAATGGAGAAATGGTTCCGGATAATCCACTCTATGGCCGAGGCAACAGAATCGAAAATGGCTGGGCTGGAGCGAAGCCCAAACGGTAGCACCCGCTCGTAATAGTAGCTGCCTTGCCAGAATATGCCGAGTAGTGAGTGGTCTTCAGCACGAACTGGGATTTGCCGGAATGCACTTTTGATGTCCAGCTTTACGAGGTACACTGGCTGAGGTGAGGACATAATAGACTCGATTGCATCGTCAATACTGATGTAGTGCAGGGAAAACTGGTCAGCTGGAACTCCGTCGTTCACACTATTACCAGCGGGGCTAGAGAGATGGTGAATCATACGAAGCTTGCCGTTCTTCTTCGGTACCGCGCCGACACCAGAACAGCGCATGAAGGTGAACGGGGCTGCACAAAAAGGACCAGCAGTTTCGCCACGCTGGCAAGAAGCATAAAGCCAGTCAGAAATAAAGGAGGCACAAGCAGCAGAAGATGGCAGATTAGCAGACTGGACAGAAATGTCGCGTGAAGCAGCGAAACCTATGCTAAAGCCGTAGCGCAGCCCGTTTAGCACATAGGAAGCAAATTCTTTATCGGGGTGATGACGCAATAGAAGCTCAAAACGAGAGACATGCAAAGGGGTATGTACAGAGGAATTATTAATGTGAGGGGGAAGAAAATTATGTACACATGCAACAGTTATTGGTTGCTCAGGCTGGGATTGCAATCCCGAACTACTGGGCTGGTCACTGACCTTTGCCGGAACACTTGCTGCGGGGGCGGTCCTTGCCACAGCGGTTCCAGATGTGGGCGAACCGGCAATTTGACCAGCTACACTTGCCAAGGTTGAAGTTTCGGCAGATGACGGCACCTGCATTGTTGCGGGTGAGCAGTGAGGATGATGTTGTTTGAGCTTGGTGTGCATGTTTGGGACGAAAAGGACACATGTTGCTTGCAGCCGCTGGGTGGACAAGGCTGCACGACTGACATCTATGCCTGGCCTTGCCTGTGATGCACAGCTGCCATGTATTTATGTCAATTGTATCAAAGCGCTTGCCGGGTTGTGAAGCGACAAGCCTTCGAAATTGCTGGTCATACATAAGGCAAGCCTCTGGAAAATACTGCCTGTTGGCCGCCAAGATCATGCACTGGTATGACAGGAGTTCTGCTGTGCGGTGGGGTGCATTGCTGATCACAACATGCATATACAGAGACCATGCTTCTAACCAAGTGGCGATATCGTGCACACGTCTACGAACCGGGCGAGTGGTGTTCACCTCTACGACTTCCAGTGCACCCCGGATGAACTGGATCTGAGCTCGAACGACTTATTGCTATAAACTGCCCCCAAGATCTCAGGCAACAATTGGTCGAAGTCCACAAACTCACCTCGCAATATCCTATCCTGCGCCGACTTTGGGACGTGCAGATTTCCAGCGTGAGGCGGTGCGGAGCACGCAGCACCCACGCCAATGTCGGATGACGCAGCTGGTGGCGCTGGTGCCGCACTTGGCTGCGACAGAAGAGAGGCTCCAATCTCGTCTGTGACGGCAGAACAAATTTCAGCCCGAATAAGTTCGCGAATACCAGTCGGATCCAAGGTGACCGGGGGATCGGCGAGCACCTCGCATGTATCCACAGTGGGTTCGGCAGAGTCGGTTGCTGAAGCTTGAGTTGGACTCAGGTTTTCTCGCTCCATGTCGTCCAGCAATCTCTGAACCAGAATGGATTTCTTTCCGGTGATCAGCAGACCTCGATCGTCCAGCTCGGCTCGCAGTTCTGCCACCCGCATCCGATGCACAATAGACGACATTGTTTCAGGCACCAACAGTACGAGCTGAACACAATCGAAGCGTCTGGCTAATTAGTTACTCAAAGCTACCACAAGCTAGAAGAAAATTTGATGCTGGCACAAGCTAAAAGTCACCACTAATTAGACTAGTCTTTGAAGTGAAGCCAACAGCAAGAAAGAAAGAGAAAGTTCAAAGGAAGCAGTTGTACGACGTCAGGCTAAGCGCGCCCGGATCCATGCGCTGGCAATGTGAGTGCAGTGAGCAAAAGTTCAAAGGAAGCAGTTGTGTGACGTCAGGCTAAGCGTGCCCAAATCTATGCGCTGGCAGTGTGAGTGCAGTGCGCAATGCACTGATGCAGCGGTGCGCGGCAGATGCAAACATGGCAGTGTGATCGGTGGATGCTAACACACACTAACTACATTACTGCGACAATATCATCCCTTCATCATTCTGTGAGAACCTGTCCTGTGGGCAGGTGAGAAGGCATATCTGCCTGTTCATTTGGTGAAGTAAAATAAACAACAACAACAACAACAACAAGCCGTAAATCTCACACACCACGAGCAGTATTTCTGTACACGCAGCAACAATGTACATTGTAAACTTCAAACTTGCCGTTATGTGAGCGAATCCATGAAATTGTCTTCATATAAGTTTTTCCTTTTCTTCTTTTGGTCCTTTCTGTCTTATATTATTGTCATTTCTTGTTTTCCCTTGCATATCATCCCTTCATCATTCTGTGAGAACCTGTCCTATGGGCAGGTGAGAAGGCATCTCTGCCTGTTCATTTGGTGAAGTAAAATAAACAACAACAAGCGAGAACTCTTCAAGACTGCACCCGAAACCTACAACAGAGTGTCACAGCAGCTGGAGACTGGCTTCAAAGATGGCACCTGCTGGTTAACACAAAGAAAACAGTCATCCTCCCGTTCTACCACAATAACCGCCCCCCTCAACATCTACCCCAGATCACCCTCAGGAATAGTCCGCTTACCGTAGCACAAAAACACAAACACCTCGGAAAAATCTTTCAGCATGACCTCCGTTGGACGGAGCATGTTGAATACATAGTTAAAAAATCACTCAAGTCTTTCAATATTCTTTTTAGACTAAGGTCTACACTCACCAGTGATTCTTTATCTCACATCTATCAGACATACATACTGCCTATATTCTCATATGCGAGCAATGCGCTCACACCATTGTCACACACTTCCCTTGACAGGCTAGAACGACTCCAGCGGAAAGCCGCCAGAATATGTCTCCACCTTCCCCTTTACACACACTTAGAACACTCCCACCTTTTGCATCGCATCAAATGGCCAACATTATTTTCACGCTTTAAAGTTAAACATAATACTCTTCGCGCATTCTCTGCGCCATAATTATGCCCCACCACATATACTCTCGCTGCATACTGCTAGCAACGTGCAACCTTCGTATAATTTACGTCGCTCTCGTACTTGGCATTTGCCAACTCCGCGGACAGACCGCTGTCTCCATTCTCCCTTGTACAAGGCCCTTCACTACTTTAATTGTTTGCCCGCCCAGCTTCGCGAAATCCCTTCTCGTACTCCCTTCAAATCCGAGATATCCCTGCTGTTGCACAACTCTGCATGCTCGTGTAGCGACCACCCCTGCCCGTACACTTAAAAGTACACAACTCTGTATGCTCGTGTGGCGACCACCCCTGCCCGTACACTTAAGTAGTCATTAACCCCTAGGCCCTGCCCACCCAATTCTTCCTCACTCTTTCTCCTTTCTTACACTATTATCTCCTATTGGCCACTGGCTATCGTGAGAATAAAGATTTGAAACAACAACAACAACAACAACAACAACCCCTTGCCCCGGCACAGGGCTCACGCTTCAGCCCACTGGTGTCACACAATACTCAATCCTAGCGCTGTCCTCCACACAATATCAGTGAGAACAATACTTTCAATTGCGGAAATACCCAAAAAAAAAGAAACAAATTACAAAAATAAATAAAAAATAATGGAAGTCGCGAATTTCATCAGCTCGAACGTCAGGTGTCTGTTCAACAAAATGGACGAGCTTAGCCACGTGGCAAAGTTGCAACAACCGTCAATAATCGCCATCCAGGAAACCTGGGCGGATCCATCGGACAGCGACGGGATGTACGCCATCAACGGCTACAAACTCATAAGAGCGGACCGGGACACCTTTGGTGGAGGAGTCGCCACATACATACCACACAGCTGCCAACACGAGACAATTACCATTCCCATGACTCAAGCGGAATGTATTTGGATTAGAATAACAATCGGCCAAGCCTCCCTTGTGGTAGGGAACATCTACCGTCCCCCGCGGTCCGACCCCGCAGAGTTCGTGATGGAACTGGAGAGAGCC